GAAGGAATACTTGATTGCATCAAATATGCCATTGTTCCGTTTTCCTTGGTTCTAAACTATTAGACCATTATGTTCAGGTACTTCTGTTGCTTAGGCATGTTTTTAGTAGTTTGTTCATTTCTTTTTTTTCTTCATATCATTATACTTTTCGTTGGCATCATCATCTGTTAACTGAATTGCTCACATTTTCGACAACAGAAAACAGCTTTCTTTGAATTGTAGTTGTGAAACAGATTAGAGTGGATCTATCAAAATATTTTCGCCGTATCGGTCATTTTGATGTACTGTAGTTTACTGGCTGCTGTTTCTGGATAATGATAGAAATTTAGTATACGGCTGAAAAACTCACTTTTTTAGTTCTTAACGATGTATAGACAAATCTGTTAACCTATTAGTATTAACCAAATTTTGTTCAAAATTTCAACTACTTTTTTTTACGTCAGTCGAGAGAGACTAAGACTTACTACTGTGTTATTTTGTTCATGCCTGAATGTTTCTCAGTTGATTTTCAAATAAAATTTAATCTTTAAAAAATAATTTAGCTATCAGCAATTATCAATGATGCTGTTTTCTCAAAAACTTTTATAGCCGTTGTCGCCAAACTAGTCCAGATCCTCTTACTGGTTAAATTAGATGTTTAAACAACTTTTCATAACCGCACTCGATCCGATACATACACTTTTTATATCTATCATTCGCTGCAGTACTGTGAACCAAACAGTTCTCGCGTCATTTTGAATTGACCTGAAAACGTTTTTAGCTGATCCTTAAAGTGACGGAAATGTAAAAATTAGTCGATTAAGCAGATTAACAGTTAAAAGAATAAAAAAGACCAAGGTGGAACAGATGCCAAAGACGTTCAGTGCCGCTGTTAGAAAATCTCTGAAGCTGCAAAGTCACTTTCCATTCCCATATTTTTTATACTTGTAATTTTGATCTTTACGTCCAAATTGGCTAATTTCAATTTTTTAATTCACACTTTCAGTAGATGAAAAATTCAATTTGCTGAAGAAGTACACAAGTCATAAAAGAATATATCGTCACCGCTAGAAGTCACTGCCAATTTTAAACAGTTGGTTTTCAAAAATCCGTACGTTTCTCACGTCCACTGCTTCCTTGTATCATTCCTCTGACCGCAGTAAATTATGAACTCGGTGTTTTTGATTGGGCTCACTCACTTTTTTGAGAGGATTTAAAATGACGTTCAAATTCATGCTAATGATAAAGTACAGTTCAGAAGGAGAAAGAAAAGAAACAGATTCACGTTTCTCACGCTAGATATTTAGTACCGTATAATTATTATCAGGAGCTCTGTTATCATTCAGAAAAATAGTTCTAAAAATAATATAACTGGCGATTATAGCGTTGCCACGAAAGGAATTTTTGGGATCACCTTTTTCTTCTGCGAAACTTAAAAAATGTGAACCATGTACTTTTTTTCGAGCTTAAAAAGTCTGTTTACTTCAAGCTACTTCTCATTAGTGCAACACATATGACGTTTGACTCATTCATTTCAAGACCTAAAAGCTGGTGTTTGTATTCTGCCAGGAAAGTCCACCGTATAAAATTTAGTGTCTAGGTTGAATAAAAGCTTTGACTCTCAAAGTAAAAGTACTAGAATTATAATTAGGAGCGACTACAAGAGTGTACAGCTTCAAAAAAAGTAGACGGGTGAATACGCTGTTAAACCAAAGAAGATTACACGCTGGATTTGCAGTAATGGGACAAAGTCAAAACTTGCTTTTGCTTTTGCAAGACATCTTTTGAAGTTTAACCTCCTGCTGTCACATTCAACTTTCAAATTACCATTACAAAAGTTAGTAAAATTTTAGTTCACTTCTTTCTCTCACTGGCTATTTTAAATTCAACAGTTCAATATCATCTATATCCCTTTAAAAAGATTAAACAAGTATCCGTAAAGAGGTACAAAGATATGAAGAAGTTTTATCTCACTGATGCCAGCGTCATCTGCTAGTATGAAATGGTGTGATAAAAGCGCAACCACACAAGTTATATGATAAACAGTTCTAATAAGCTAAACATAGTTATTAATAATTGTTTGATGGATAACCTTCCAATAATGTTTATAATACTGGTGGAACTGACTAGTATTCTGTACCAGTGCTTCTCAGTAGGAGCAGCCAGGGTTTTAGGGCAATGATAAAGACCTTGCAAAACGAACGGACAATTTGAGATTTACTGATTCAGAAAACTGCACCAAAGTTTTAGCTTTAGTGAAGTTAAAAGTAACTTATACGTAATCAATAGTGATCAAGTATTGTTTAGAGACACGTGGTCTACCAGAAATCAGTAATAAAACAGGAACGTTATTTTTTCAGAAACGTACAATGAGCCAAAAATAGCTGGGAAATACAATTTTGAATCAAGCAGCTATTATTAAACTTAAAGCGGGGTAAAGGAGCAAAAAGTTTCATTTTCCATCAGAAATGAGGGTATTGCGCAGTGAATCATGCAAAGTGCGGTACAAAATAACAGCTGAAAACAACAAACGGCAGGAAGTCGTTATTGCTGGCAGTATCCACCTTCGCGAAAAGCGCTAAAAGCTTTTTTTTTTCGTTCATAACTGTTTATGCTAGGGCTGATCTCAAAAACGCTAGGGCTGATCTCAAAACTCAAAACACTTCAACTTTTTGTCAGTTTCCAGTTTTCAAAAAAATTACTCATATTGGTGGTACATTCACTCTTTTACTCATTTGTGGCAACGTACTCTCCTCAGTGAACTTCAGCCGTCTTCGCCTGTCTCACAAAGAAGGCCTACATTCATCGCTAAAGCGTTCAAGGCACTTCGACAATTTAAGAAAATTGCAGGATATGGAAGCAAGGCTGGGTCATTTTTTTCATGGAGATCCAATCAACAGCTACTTTTATCTACATAATGTCATAACCAATGAATAATTGCCCAAACCAACAACCTTGTAAAACCGCTAAAAAATCAACTTTGAAGTTTTACTCAATGCTTTAAGAAAGCAGAATAGTAAAGAGGTCTATCAACGTGCTTAACTATTACCATTCAATGAAATGAGCTGATTTCCAAATCTTCTGATTCACGCTCTAAAACCACATAAAAAACTATTTAAGAAAATCACTGCCAGTATGTTAAAACCGTGTAAAATAAACCGTCGTCCAGTTTTAGTTATCAAAATCTGAAAAAAAAAAAAAAACCGAATTATTTGTTTCACAGATATCCTTTTTTCTGCAACTTAAAAATTAAACGAATCAAAATTAAAGTTCAGATCCTTTTCCAAAGATAATTATGTTACGGGGTGGTATCTTCAAGCAGATAAAAGTTGAGGAACAAAGAGTAAAACAAGGCTGTAACATTGCTCCCGTTTTTCAAAGATTTCAAAAAATTTTACTCCATCCAAATAACATTTGTTCAGTTGTGCAAAAAATCAAGTGAAAGCAGAAGAAAAATGCACGTGTTAAAAAAGTTCTAGAATTGACTTAAAATACTGCAAAATTTACAACTTTTCATCAATCTCATTAATCAGACGGCAATTTTGCGATTCAAATATTTCGTAAAAGCAACTATTTCGTCAAAATGAATGTTATATATGTATAATTTTTTAAAAATTTGTGTTAGATTTCTCAAATGTTATTGCTGAATGTAACACGCGCCACTTTTCAACAACACTTATATTAATCACAATCATATTCTAGAATCTGGTTAATACCGCTCTTTTCCACCCTCCCTAACCGGTTAAAGGAGGCTTTTTTTCTTCTTTTTCTTCTAAGTGCCTTCCTGATGAGATGTGGCGGGT